CCTTTTGATTACAGTAGTGTTACCTTTATGGTTGGAGGATGGGCTTTAGAACCTTAGGTTGGGAGATTTTTTGAAGATGTTTTCACTTAGGGAAGCTTGATTATATCAGGCAAATAACATTTGGGAAATTTTGCCTCCCACTGCTACCTATGTAGTTCAAGAGAATAATTAAGAAATGAGGAAGGGATGATATGGATGCATCACTTTAAAAAAGTTACTTGTATTTTTGGAGTTTTAAAACTCCTGAAAGTGGTTTTGTGTATTTTAGGCTAACCTGGAAATCCGGGTTATTCCTCTCTCCTTTTTTTTAGATCCAAGTGAAGGCTGTGCATAGAAGAGTAAACAAACCAGAATATGTGAATTATGAAGAGTCACAGACTGTTAGAACTACAAAAGGACATTAGTTTGTCTAGTTCAGTGCTGTCCAGCCAGTTAACAAATAGGCCCAGAAAGGTTGAGAACCTGTGGTTTGGGGAAGAAGGAAGGAGAGAATAGGAACTAATGTTGTCCGGGAACTCACCATGTGTCAGGCACCGTGCTAAATGCTTTACTTTTATTATCTTGATCATCAAGCACCTTGAGGCCAAAGGATGGAAGGAGTAAAAGGAAAATCCCTCTTATTATTCTGAGCAGTAAGTAGGTGATAAAGGGGAGTGGCAGATCACTATTTCCTGTCTAACTACATAGGGTTAAACTACAGGAATTGAAGAGTCAGTGTTTGAGAGTGAGGTTAATCTAAGGAAGTACTCACTAAATAGTTGAGATTCATGATTAACTTCTCTATTTCAGGGGACGTTCCAAAAATGTGATGGTCAGAGGTAGGCTAGAGGCAGAGCTAGTAGAGAACAAGATTACTTTTGGCTTTGGGGTTGATTTGCATTCTAGGAAATCAGTCCACAACCTGAGAATATAGATTAATCTTACAAATAAGGAACAAAGTGGGGCATCTCATCCTATGGGGTGGTCAAAGAAAATAGTGTTTATATCCTAAGAATCAAGGAGATAAATGTCTTTGGTGACTGTGCTTGTTTTGGGGTTTTTGTTTTGTAGCACACTTTGAAGTCATGAAACAATTTATAATTTTGGAAAGACTCGGTATCAAGTTCAATGTTGACAGGAGCAGGTGGCAGCCTGAACGTTGCTATTGAGAATGAGATTTTATTCCTTGTAGTTGTTTGATATGATATCCCAAGTGTTGTACCATGAGGGCTGCTTCGGTAGGGACCAGTAATGTCATTAGCAGAGTCATGTCCTGAGTACAGGACAACTTCTGGGGAAGATTAAGGGAGGATCTCAGTTTTTAAAGAAGCTTCTGGATCAAGTGAGTTGGGTCTTATACTTGGGTGAGAAGTAAGGAATCAGTATTTATAAGTCAGCACATTAATGCAGGCTATAAAATAAAATAGTAACCTAGTACAGAAGTAGCCAGAGCCAAGAAATAATTCAAAAAGTTAGAGTTAACCAGAAAAGATTCTTCGAAAGTAAAGAAGATAGGGGAACAGATGAGGTGTTCAGATGAAGAAAACTCACAGAAGAATGTTTATGTGTGTTTTGTGCAGAAGGCTATGAATGAGCTACTCAGGGTGGTAAAGGAGAAGAATATTAAGAAATAAAGTTGGAGGAGCAGTCTTGTGGGCCTGAATGAGGAGTTCGGATTTGATTTGGTAAGCATTAGCAGGAAGCAGAGTATGATGGAATGAATATGATGTTGAGGACTTTGGCAGATGTACTGGGTCAAGGAAGCTGTCTATCTTGGTAGGATACTTTTGTTCTTGTCCAGATATGGGGCCCTGAGGGCCTGCACTAGAGTGGAACAAAGAGAATGAGAAGAAAAGAAGGGGGTCCATAGGAGTTAGCAAGGCTTGATGATAGTTTGGATGTGAGAGATGACCCCAGGACATTAATCCTGTTGATGGTGATGAGAGCTTGGAAAGAGGTAGCTGCTTTGTTTTTAAGAATTAGGAAGTGTTTACTTCATTAACCAATTGATAGGATACGTCTTTGTTTAGTATTTCAAGGTCTAGGGGGGAGCGGTCAGCACCCCTAGGAAATAGCAAGTGTGTGGTGTGCATCCAGATGATCATCTGCACTCTGCCCTGGGCAGGTGGGAGATCCAGGTGAAAGAGAGCTTATTGCTGGGGTGTTCCCGCAGACTTCAGGAAGGCTATCCCTCTCCAGATCTAGGAAAGAAAATAGTTTTTTGCCAGTTTCTTCCCCTTTAATGCTTTGAAAATGGGATATGACTAGCCTGTGGCAGCATGTGCCTGTGGATGCACAATTCTCTGGCTTGTTTCTTGGAAGGCCTTTTTCTGTCCCTCCCTGGGGGTCATTTGTATCTCTGGTTCCTGCTCCCAGAGCCATAAAGTGGGAGCCCCCATTTATTAATTGGGTTGGGATTGGGGAGGGGGTCCACGGGGGACTCTTTAGTGCAGCAGGCGGGGGTCTTCCCGAATGAGCCCATTAGCCAGCCCCAATGGCAGCTGAAACGGGGCCGCAGCCAAGTCCTCTCCGTTTCAAAAACCCTCCATTGCCTGCGGCAGATCAGAACAAGGCCTGCGGGAGCCCTTAGCTTCTGATTGCAGCTGTGAGGAAGGACAAAACAATTTATAGGAAGCCAAGTAGCTCCTGTCTCACTATTTCTTCCTTTCTGACTTTGGGGAGGGGCAAGACTGGGATGTGGCCCCCCCACACACCATAGCTTCTTACAAGGCAGGTACAGGCCTATAGTAGGAGAGAACAGTAGTGAGTGTGTTTGTGCTGATGGGACATCTATGTCAATGCTCTGGATCTGTTTACACATGTCTTTGCTTTTTTCTTCCATCCACATGCAGTTGTATTTGATACATGGTCCTCCCTAGGGCAAAGCCAAGCGTGTGCTCAGATAGTCTCAGTTGTATGTCGGGCAGCATGCTTATCACACTCTTTCTCCATACATCTGCCTTGTTCCTTCTCTGCCTTGTCAAGATTCAGGGTTAGAGCTAGATCACCTTCTTAACATCTCTTCATAATAGAAGGAGTTGGGCACTGAGAGGAAGGCCTCCTACTGGGACTCCCTCATTTGTCCCTTTGGTTAAGCCAGCATGAGAAAAGCAGGCATCTCTAGGGGAGCTTCTTTCTGCAGTGGCCCAGAGAGAAGGTGGGAAGGGCAGGAACCCCTCACCTGATAAAAGGAGGGGTTTCCTTCCTCACAGAATCACAGAGGGCCAGACCTAGAGAGGAACCCTAGAGATCACCTAATTCACTCTTTCAGTGTACAGAGTGGGAAACAGCTTTGGGGAAGGGTAATGTGTTGCCCACTGTCTCATAGTGAGTTAGTTGGTGGCAGCTAGCCAAGACTGGAGTCCAAGAGGCCAGAATCTTAACCTACTTGAGTATAGAGCCCCTGACCTTAAGACTGCCAACTCCTGTGAGCACTGACCTTCCTCAGGAAAGAAAGGTGGGGCTGTGAGGTTTTGAGGGGGAAAGGTAGATTTGAAAAACATTAGTAGAAAAACTAAGAAGTTTTATGTGTTTTTACTTCAAAGACTCATCTCTCCATGACCAAATTGTACAATTGTAATTTTTATGTAGTAAGGAGCTCTGTTCATTGGGGATGCAAGTGGCAGCCACTGCCAAAGATCTTGATGCCCCCAGAGTTACCCCCAAGTTCCAGGAGCACTTTGCCACCAGCTCTGGGGTTTGGAAAACAGAAGAAAAAAACCCTCTGAGGCCCAGTGAGGAATTTACCCTAAATCTCAACTCAGGCTCTTTTGCATTACAATATAACTATAGAAAAGCAAAATCTGAAGGAAGGGAGGAAGAACATGCCTCACCTTCTAGGAAACTAAGTGGTCTCTGAATGAGAGAAGGCATTATGGAACTCTGAGTAAAATGAGTTATCCTCTGAGATTACTGGGAAATGAGGTTGGAGGAGGGACCCCCTACTCCTCTCCCTTACTAAGTTTGAGTTGTCTGTTTTTTCTCCTTTGATGAGGCAGAAGGAAGGTGGTGTGGTGTCCCACAGTGACCTAAGCCTTAAATAGTGTGTTTAGTGAACTGACAAGCACAGCAGGTTCTGAAGTTATCTCACTTTGATACTAAGACTATCCCTCTTTGGACCTCTCCGAGAGGTATCCCTTCTAGTGCTTATTTTCTGAGCATATGAGTGTGGGAGCCAGTGATGTGTATAGAGGGAAATGCTAAAGAATCTCTAAGCTGGAATCAGAGTCTTGGAGAGAGAAAGGTACCACTGGGCAGCTTAGAGATAGAGTTGTGAGCCTCGGTCAGAAGGGTAGTGGGTCTGCAAAAAGAACATTGTATGCTGATGACAAAGAAACAGATCCTAGTACATAACCTTTACATTTTCTCCATCACACCCCAATTGATAATATTGGGGGTACTTGAACTGGTCCCCATGCAGATTCCTCCCTACATAGGGAGTATGTATGTTAGACTGACTTGTCCAAATTGCATCAAGTCTGCTGTCCCCTCACAAACCTCCTTTCTGTCTGTTAGGATTTTCTTGTTTGTGTGTGTGTGTTTGTTTGTTTGTTTGTTTGTTTGTTTTTGCCTCCCAGTCTTTCTTAAAGAAGCTGTTTTGGACAAGGCGATAATGATCTGATCTAAAACTAGATGGCCTCCTCTTGAGTAACCTTCTTGCATTAACTTTACATTAACCTTGAACCTTCATTACCCTTTATAATTCTGAGTTTCTGGTTCTGTTGAATTTCTAATTTATCTCTTAAGTATAGGAATCATTGTTTTTAGTTTATCAGACTGGGAGCTGGTTCCCAGGAGGTATGACTGTTAGAGCAGTTATAATTCTCTCTGAGAGCATACTTAAGGTTCATCTTAATCCTTCCAGGCTTTGCGAATTCAGGTTTGAGGGAATTGGAAGAGTGGTGACCATTACCATCACTGTTACCTACTAAGGCCATATTCCCTGGGGGAAAGACCAAATTTCTCTTCGGTGTCTAGTCCCTTGTCTCATGTCTAAAGTAACCTGTTATTTTCCTTTACAGGTGGCAGCAGCGGCAGGAAGGATGGCCCTTGAGGAATTTGGTGAAATCCATCAGTTACCTGGCATCTGGAGCTCGTGACGAGTTCAGTTTTTCATAGACTCTAAAACCAGGTAGGGACCTAAGACCAATCAGAGGTTTCAGGTACACTTTTTTAAGAAATTCCCCACCCCCACATACAACTAGTTTCAGGGAAGTTTCTTATTCCCAAGGAAGTTTCTTATTCCCAAGATCTCCAGAAAAGTTTCTCTGACTTTTTATTTGACGCTATTATGGTATCCTACCTTCTCATTAAGAATTTCTCCCCCTGGTTAGAGTAGGTGACCCTCTTTATTAATATTGACAGTCATTTCATTCCTCTTCTTTCCTCTTGGCCCACTTTGCTAATGGGTATTCCTCTTTGGTGGGATACTGATGTTGGTTACTCTTATCCTCTCCTCTACAACACTCGTCCCACTTACCCATCACCACCACCACCACCACCACCACACACACACACACACACACACACACAGCCTTGCCTTCTTCCCCAAGAAGCTATTTTCTCTCCCTTTCTGAGTGGGATTGGGCATGCTGTCCCTTCTTACTGCCTCTCATCAACTTCTCTACCTCCTTTCCAGATTTGATGGGAGCTCCCACCTGTCCAGACAATATACAAGACACAAGAAGTAGAGGCCCACAAGCCTGCTTCTCTCTAGCCTCATTGCCCAGAACCAGGCAGGTCATGAGTTTCCAGTGCTCACCCCCACCCTTCTTGCTGCCAGGTAGGTGGCTCTTCTGTCTACCCACTAACCCCAAACAGGGTCGTATTTCTCCCTGGAAGTATTTTTCTCTGTTGTTAAATATCTCCAATAAGGGGAAGACCTTAGTGACTCACCTCTCTGCCTTGTGACTTCCAGTTTTAATCTTTAGCTGGATTAAATATCCACCCCTTTCCAATAGTTCAGAACAATTTCCCCCTTTTAGTTGGTGTGGAAATAAGGGACCAGTGAATATGATATTTCACCCTGGAGTGTAAGGGTCCAATGACAGGCAACACTTCTCTTGGGGCTGAAAGTCTAAAGCCCCAGATATCCATTCTGCCCAGTGGCCTGGCATACTTGGAGAATACGTGGATCTCTCGAGGGAAAGCTGTATTTATCCTGTGTCTATTCCCAAGGACAAGAATCTCAGGCTCTGAGAATCTGTCTTTATTCATTCGCAGACCTCTCCGGGGAGTAAGAAAGGATTACCATATAGCAGAAACCAACCATCAGGGGCGCCTGGGTGGCTCAGTCCATAAAGCATCTGCTTTTGGCTCCGGTCATGATCCCAGGGACCTGGATCGAGGGTGGAATTGAGTCCCACATCAGGCTCGATGTTTACTGGGGAGTCTGCCTCTCCCTCTGCCTGCTGCTCTGCTTGTCTCTCTCTATGACAAATAAATAAATAAAAGAAAAGAAAAGAAACCCATCATCAGGTGATAGTGTCTGGAGTTCAGGTGGCATAATTCACGTGGCAGGTCTTATCCAGGATCTGTAAAAAGTTGGTAGGGATGCCACAGCCGCTGCTGCCATTGGATGTGACATCAGCTTACCTTTTGCTTTTAGGCCTCCTCTCTCAGCAGTTCCTCTCTTACCCCTGCAAGCCAGACAGCAGCCCTAGCAGGTGCCAGCCCTGGATAATGTACACCCTCCCTGGTTGACACATACCTGGGATGCAGGATGGATGGGAATGCAGGAGATGTCCCTCGAAGTGGTCGAGTGATAGTACTTTCATGACTCAGAGATCATCAACATTCATAATTCTGCCCTTCCAGACGCCAGTCTTGGTGTCTGATCCCTCAAAGCTGCAGGGCCACTTGGGCAGCTGCAGTCTTGGTTTCTGCCACACGAGGGTGCTGCTGACCAATTAAAACTCCTGCCCCTTAGCAGACAGGAGTTTGGGTGACAGGGGCACCCTTTCCTCAAGACAGGGATCAGAAACAATCTGAGAGAGCCTGAGAGCCAGGCCCCAAGAAGCCAGAAGAATGATTAATATCACTTTCTCTTCCTTAGAAATGGCCTGAGGCTCTGAACAGTCTGCCCTAGTGGCCTGACATCTCAGTATGTTTCCATCTGAATTCAGGAAGCCTCCAGCTCTGGGCACCAAACATCTTGCATAGGTGCTTTTCTCCCTCAGGGTGTAATAGGGTTCAGCTGTCTCCAACACCTTGACTGTCTCCCTGCCTCTTAAACAGTCACTTTCTAGTCCAGAGGGTAGGGGTACCTTTGGTTTCCGGAGAAAAAAATCTCACAATTGTTGGGAGAGAAGTATCTTTCTTAGTGAGAGAGTGTTGGGGAGAGGGCTGAGAATGGGAAAGTTCAGCCTTCTATATGCCATCACCTCCCCTATCACAGACCTGGAGAACTGAAGATGGTCCAGTGGACGTTTGCAGCTTGAGTGGCTGGAGGACACCTCAAAAAAAGGTGTCAGAAAGCCGGGTGGGGAAGAGGATGCCTTGGCCCGTGAGCTTTAAACTGATCCTGTATGGGGCCCTTTTGGGGGTGAGGTATCCCACAATTGATCCTCAGTCTTCATGAAGCCCTTCCAGGCTGAACAGGCTAAGGGAGATGACAGAGGTTCTCCTCCTCCCTCCTACCCCCGTGCCCGAGGGCCCCTCCCCAGGAGGACAGCTTGATTAAACAGTCGGTGCTGCTGGAATTACTGCACAGCTGGCGCTCCCCCCAGCACCCTGAGCAGAGCAGCAGCGCAGATTAAAATCTCCAATTAGCGTTAAAGTGAAGTGAGGAGGTACTGAGGCTGCCAAGGAGGCCAGGCGGGGGCCCTGGATCGGCAGACACCCCCACTGGTGCCTGGGTTCTGAGCTCCACCCCCCAGTCATCCCTTCTTTCCTAGCTCCTCTCCCAACAGCTCTCAGTGCCCACTAGCTTTGCATTGCTTGGGGCCACAGGACTTTCTGGGGGCAGAGGGTGGAGCAGATGCCTTACCTGACAAAATGCTGGGGACACTGTAAGTGTGAAGGAAAATGAGCAATCAGTGCTTGTCAGGGGAGATACCCTGCTCACAGCGTGCCAGGCAGCCAGGTTGAGGTGACTTCACACGCCTGCCACTGCTTTTTGCCTAGAGAAAGGGCAAACAGGACAGGTCCTCCAGACGCAGACCCTCTTACCTCTAAGGTGCTGGGTGTTGTGGTGCCCACACAAACATCCATCCTTGTATATTTTATACTATCTGACCCATCTGCTCCCACCCAAATTATGGCTCTGTTCTTCCTCATTCCCTCTTTTATTCTCAGCTTTCTTGTAGGTAGGGGTAGGCACAGCCTAGCTTGAGAGCATCGCCATGCCCTGCCACCTGGGTCCCAGCCGGCTTCTCATTACCTTCTTTGCAGTTTGGGGAAGAGCGGGGATATGCCAAGAATGGAGGCCTCAGACTCTCCCAACCTCCAAACATCATACCCCATCCTAAGGGCCCTCTACCATTTACACTTCCGCCCTTCACTCACCAAGCCCAGAAGGAGGGCAGCACAGCAGCCACACCCTCTGACTTCCCTCTGCCCCTTTAAGGGAAATGGAGGTGGGTACCCAGCTGACTGAACCTACTCACACCTCCAGAAATTAGACACCAGGGCACAGTGCCACCCTCCCGGGCTGGCACATGCTACCCTGGCAGAGGTTCAAATAACGCCACCCCCCTTCATTCTCCCACCCCGATGTCTTCCTCTTCTCTCTCCCTCTTTCTTCCTCTCCCTCTCTCTCTTTTTTTTTTCTCAGCTCAAAGCACAGCTGAGCCTTAAAAGGAAGGGGGGAGACCAAGCTGGGGCAGGGGGGTGGAGAGCTCCAATAGCACGTTTTCACCTGCCATTTAATTGGATGTATTTTTAATTAATGGGACCTTAGGGACCAACATGAGACAATCTGATCTCTGAATAGGGACAGGGGAGGGATTGGGTTAGGGAGGAGGATTGGGCCACTGGGTGCGGTTACTGGGAACCCAGGCCCATCAATCACTGGCCACTTTGCACTCTGGCATGGGGAATAGTGAGGTGGAGGAGGAGGGGTGGTGCTGGGGTTAGTTGCCAGGATTCCTCCCCAACTGCCAGGACCTCCAAAAAAAGGATAGAACTATACTAGTTGACTTGGGTCTGAGGCCCAAAATTGCAGCCAGGATATTAGGTAAGGCAATTTTCTTGCTCTTAGGATTTTGTCCAGTTGGGCCAGTCCCTGTGAATGATGTAAAACTGAAAGGAAAGTAGGGACAGAGTTTTGAGGTCCTTGAAGAGAGAGGGCAAGAGCTAGGGACCATAGAACCAGAGACTGTGTGAGAGGAAAGAGGAGGGCAAGGTTTAAAGATATTTCTGAATGTTTAGACATAGGAGAAGTGCCCTGGAGGTTACATGCAAAGCATGTAAGGCCTGATGCCTTTGGGTTGTGACTCATAGAAGCTTACTGCTGTAAGGGAGAGAACTTGGGAGTTCATCTTGCCAAACACTTCACTTTACAGATGTGGAAATGGAGACCCAGAGAGGAAAAATCAATTGAATCCTTTCCTGGAGTTGCTTTGTGTTCCTGGCTTCAGAGAGTTCCTGGGAACCCAAGGAAAGGTAGGTAGGTAGGTAGGTAGGGCTTGGGGAGGGAAGTCAAGGGAAGAGGTTTGGCAGGATTATTACTGGAGTCTTATATCTCTGGCCTCCAAGACAGAAGCAAGTGAGGGGAGTCAGGCAGACGCATTGTTGGAGGAATGTTTCCCTCATACACGTACTTTCCAGAGGTCATCTCATCTGTTCCCCTGCTTCCAAGTAGACAGATCCCTGAGATCCCCCCCACTCTCTTGGGATTTTACTATATTCTGTAAAGTCCACAATGTATCAACTACCCTAGTTCCTTAACTAGGAAATAAGTTTCGCAAAGGTGACTAAATATTGAGCTCTTTTGAGATCTTATTACAGGTTTCCCTGTCACAGTATAAACTTCTAGAAAAAATTATGCTGAAGAGTGGTCTTACACCTCTTGTCCCATGTCTAGGCCTAAAACAGAGAGGGTTAAAAGTCAAGGCTCTGAAGGCTGAGTCAGAAATGCCTCTGTATTCATGCGGTGCCAAAGCACTTAGTCAAGCCCTATCTGACTTTGTGCAGTGTTGGTGCACAATGGAGAGGAAGGAGTGTTTCCAGCTTTCCACATCCCCACTCACTGTTCAGACACTAGGGTTAAGGAGGCAAAGAATGAAGGAGAAAAGGGTCTTTCCCACCAGGTTGCCAAAGGTGGCATTTCCTGGCATTTTCTTCCTTCCTTAAGAAAATTCAAGATTCTTTGTTCTGTGCTTCATGAGACTAAGCTGGAGTCAGGCAAGGGTGGGCACAGAGCGTGGAAAGCAGTGTGGATGGAAACTTCATCACACTTTCCAAGCCATCACACCTTTCCCCTACTCCCAGAATTATCTTCTCTCTTAGTATCCCATTTTTTTTTAAAGATTTTATTTATTTATTTGACAGACAGAGATCACAAGTAGGCAGAGAGAGACGGAGAAGCAGGCTTCCCGCTGAGCAGAGAGACTGATGCGGGACTCGATCCCAGGACCCTGGGATCATGACCAGAGCCAAAGGCAGAGGCTTTAACCCACTGAGCCACCCAGGCACCCCTAGTATCCCATTTTATATCCCCAAAGTCCCTGAGGAAAAGCAGGATGTGCCTCTGTAAGTGACCCACATTCACCCTGTCTTACATTTAGACCTTCAGGATCATCTCCTTGCCTTCTCTACAAACAATAAATAAGAAGGACCCCTCACATCCCCTCAAGACAGTCTGGAAAGAATCCATCTGCCTCTTCCCCTGCTTCCAAGGGCCTATAGTAGTGGGATCTGGGAGGAGAACTGTGCCAGGAAATTGAAAAGGAAGATTCTCTTGTCTGGGAAGGTCCAGGAGGAGCCTGAAAAGGGGGAGAATATGGAGAGGGGAAATTTGGGAGCTGAAGCCGGTAGTCCCATCTGTGGGGCTGGCTGCCTAACCCATGGTAGGCTGTTCATACTGACTATTATTCACAGGATTTATTAGAGGCTCTTGTCTACAGGGCTACTGTTTCTCCTTTGAAATACAGAGCAGGAGCAGTGGAGAAGAACAGCAAAGAAGAAGGGGAGAGGGTGTCAGGCTTCGGTAGGCCCTTTCTTACCCCTTTTCCACCCCTGCTCCATCCCTGCTCCAATATTGGAGGGTCCAAAAGGCCCTTAAAGCATTCAATCTAGGGGTGCCTGGGTGGCTCAGTGGGTTAAGCCGCTGCCTTCGGCTCAGGTCATGATCTCAGAGTCCTGGAATCGAATCCCGCATCGGGCTCTCTGCTCAGCAGGGAGCCTGCTTCCCTCTCTCTCTCTCTCTGCCTGCCTCTCCATCTACTTGTGATCTCTCTCTGTCAAATAAATAAATAAAATCTTTAAAAAAAAAAAAAAGCATTCAATCTAGATCCTGGATGTTTCTCTAAGGAGCAGGGCTTCCCTCCCCAAAGTCCCACTGGCCCTGCCTCACAATCCCAAGGTTTAGGCAAGATGCCAGATCTATAGCCCTGGAGTCAGAGCCTGGAGCCTGGAGTCCAGAAAGATTGCTGAGCCTTTGCTGGGAAAGAGGAACAGACTTGAAGTAAGTGGGAGGCAGAGGTAGCAGCACCCAGAATGCCCCGCACTTAGGAGAAAAAGGAGCTCTGTATTGGCCCAGGGTCTGACGGGACTCCTCCTTTCCTCCTTCTCCCTCAGTGTATCCCATGGGTTAGTGAGAGATCTGGATGTCTGAACCTCCCACCTGACACATCAAAAGTTGTTATACATATCTCCTCTCTAGTTCCCCAGGCCAGGGAGGAGGGGAAAGAAGGCATCTCAGAGGTGGCAGTGCTGTGCTGTCAGCACCCAGGGAGGCCAAGGAGAAGAAACGGTGACCAGAGAGGGAACCAGGAGGTGATGCCTGCTCTTGAAACAGTCTCTTTATCCCATCCTCTCCAGCACCCCCTCTCACATGCTGACAAGGCTGTGTGCCCAAGTGTGCCAGCTCTCCTGGCTGGCAGTCCTGCTCTGCCATGCAGGCATCCGGCTCTCTGCTCCGGCACAGAGCACATGCTGGGGTCTCTCACACTCCTTTGCTCACTCATCTCAGTCTGTCTGTGTTGCAGATTCCTAGGGATGAAAGAGGAAGCTGTGGCCCTGTGAGTAGGAAGATGGTGGGCTTGGGGTCCTTTGGGTGCATATCTGCCTCACTGGAGGGCAAGGAAGGAGAAGGCTCCTGGCAGCTCCCCCGAGCTCAGGGTTCTGGTGACTCATAGCAATGGGGGCAGCTCATGAAAACATCAGAGGGGAAGGGGGCCCAGGCTTGTTGGAGCTCTCTTTTTACCCCAGTTCTCCCCAGCTCTGAGCTATATGGATGAGGTTCTCTCTTCTGAACTGTGGGGCAAGGAGAGGCTCCAGCTATGAAAGAATAGAGGGAAATGGGACAGAAGAGATTAGAGGAGGTTGAGCATTCCCAGAAAGAGGCTTTCCATTGAGGAAAGGATAGGTGAAGCTGCTAGTACCCTGTATATTCACTGGCTGCCCAGAGGGTCCTGGGCATTCGGATGTGCAGGCAGACACAACTCCTCCTCGGAAGGATTGCCGCTTAGTCTCACTACTCTCTTCCCTGGAAACAGATGCTGTAGATCATCAAAGATGCCAATTGCCTCTTCCCTCACAGGCCAGGTGGGCGGTGTACATCTTCCCTACTCTGAGTCACGGGGATGAGAGGATATTGTATTTGAGATCACATCAGCAGAAAGGGGCCAGAAGGTGGACCAGGAGAACCATTCATGCCTCTGACCTCAGTCCAAGGGACCTCCTTGTTTCAGCAAAGGAAAACAGGGATCTTTGGTACAGGTGTATCCAGACAATAGTGCAGTGAAAGATGGGCTAAGTAGGAGGAGAGTTCTCTGACAGAGCCCATTTTCATTTGCTTATTTCATTGCTCGCAGCCCTCCAGCTTGGAGTGAGGGGGTGCTCTCTGTTGGGCTGCTTCTGGAGATCCAGAGATGGTTTTGGTTGGAGAAAGTGATAGACCAGCCACTTTTCATTCTTCACTCTTCCTCTAGGGAGACAAACCTTCTCTACTCCCCTAGCTCTTCCTGGCAACATTGGGAGCCCAGGGCCCCCCGCTGGAATACTGATAATAAAGCTCAGTCCTGAACTGAGCCAACAAATCACTGGGCTCTGGTATAGAAATGGTGCTGTGAGGGGAGCCTGGGTGCCCCAGGTGGGTATAGGCAAGTGTGGGGAGTTTAGACCCAGGAGAGATAGTAGAATCACTCCTCAATATCACACACTCTTCCTCTTTCTCAAATTTTCTCTTTGGCCTCCCTTTTCTTCTACCTTCCTTCAGCTAGCTCCACTCCTGGCCACCTCACCCCTTTGAGTCTGAGAAGATATGGTAAATAGTTGTCTGTTCCCTACACTTTTCTCTCTCTTCCTCTACTCCCAAGTTCCAGCCAAGAGTTACCCCATTTGAACTCTTTGTACTAGTGAATGCCATCAGGATCTGAACCCAGAATCCCCAGCCTTTGCTGCCGCCCCCCAACTCTGAGAATGCCACTCTGACTCTGAAACTGACTCTTCAGTGCTCACCCTCCCCACCAGGGTAACCAGGCCAAGACTGGTATGTCCACTAACAACAAGGCCCCTGACCTGAGGCAGAGGGCTGCTCCAAGGGTGCAATGAGGCCCGGCCCTAAATGCAAGTATGCCTGTGCATTGGGCACACTGGTTTATTAGTGTTATTTCAGCATTGTGATGCAGAGAGAGTAAGTGTAACAGCTGCTCCTTGCTTGCAGTGTTTATTGTTACCTAGAGACAACCTCCTGGCTTTTTCCCAGCTCCCCCTCCCCCCAAGCCCAACCCCCTCCCTGCCAACAGTCCTACTCTCCCCACACTGATGGGAAATTTATAGCTTGCCCATACCATGCCTTTAACCCTCTCCTGTCCATAGGGTAGGTGGGGCAAGGGAAGCCAAAGAGAGCAATGGGCATGCTCGGGCCCCACCAGGGTAGAATGGTGTGCAGAGGAAGGGAGGAAGGGAGGACACTGCCCCTCCCCAATCTATGTGTCCAGACTCAGGCTCTGATTGCCCTCCCGGCTCTCATGTTGAGAGAAAAGAGCTTTGGACCCCAGCATCCTCCTTATAAGATGATTCTCTTCCCTGGGCATCTCTAAGCCCCCCCAGTTGGTCTGCCTGGTCCTGAACAAGCACAGTGAGGTAGTATTAAAACAGGATTAAATGTGGAGAGGCAGAATCCCCAGCCCTCTCCTTTCTGTAGAGATGTCATATCAAGACTAACAAGAGACTGTGGCATGAGGGATGCTGGCCAGACCTTCCCAACTAGGTAAATGTCAAACATGAAACTGGTTGATGAGTCAGGTGGGAGAAACTACCTACTCTATCTTTACCCCAAGCCAGCACTCAGGTCCCAAGAGATTCCCAGACCATTCTCCAAGCTGGTCTCCTTGGTCTGGTTAGGCTACTACTCCCTTCTGCTCTTCTTCCTGACCCATTTTCTCCCGCTTATCTTTGGGTTTGATAGCTTGGATTAAATCCAAGAGACCAAGAGGACTG